TCTACGAAATTCGTGAGCAACCTGCTACAATTTGCATTAGTTGTTTTCTTCCATTTCTTCTATTTTTCCTCTCTCTTTTCCTCCTCTTCTTCTATTTTTATAGTGTTGGAAAGCGTTAACGATATGTAAACACGGTCAAAAAACCTTCAATTCTGTAAATTATAATTGGCAGGGTGCCCAAAACTTTGCGATAACTCTGCATTTATCTGAAAAAAAAATCAGTCGCAATCGCAGCAGTTTTAACTGTTAGCATTACTAGGAGAAAAAAGATCCAAAATAGAAACACTTACAACTTCATGGTTCCATCATGATTAGCAACACTATTTCGTGAACTAAATTTCCGATTGATGTTCAGATTGGTGTCACCGGAACAGTGTTGAACACCTCCGCCATTGCGCTCATCTATCACACTCCATCTTTCCATAATGCCTTCGGCTACATTTGTGCTTCACACATTTGTTCGCAGATGTTGCAGTTCTCATCATCTTCTCGCTATGGTCTGCACCAGCTGCAATGCTGTGAGTTTTGGAAGAATAGGGAACTTTTTGATTGCTAGAACCTGCAATACTCCTCCTCTTTTTCGTTTTACATCAATTCATTTTCCGAAGGGGATCTTTTAATCTCTGTCCCACTTCTGGCGACATTTTTAATTTGATATTATATTATACCATAACACATTTTCAAGATAATTTTGACAGTTTGGTATGTTGTACAAAAGTGATTGCACGTCAAGATTCTAATTCGAGATCTCATAGGTTTTCAAAGTTACGAGGTAAACTGTATTCCAACTCACACACTCGCTTTAAACAGGGCATGAAATGCTTGACATTGATGATTTTCCTGCGCACGACATCCGGCACCATGGAGAGAGTCGCAGTTTCCATATTCCGTCGATCAGGATGTCGCTACTGCAACCTGCACCTACGACTCTCTCACACCGACCCAAATATCACTCCCACCTTCGAGGCCTTACGTGCGCTTAACCCTGATAATGACGTCAACCATCTATCGATAGTTCTAACCATGTTGTTGTGAATTTTACGCGTCGTGCCTATTCTGAAAACAGATTGGCGCTGAAAAAATATGTTGCAAGAAATTCCATGTTCGGTTTTCTTGGAACCTGGGCATTTCGGATATTGTGTTGTTTCTTCTGTGCCATACAGGTTGTTATGGTGGAACACGTTTATTGGTCAACGTTTCGACAATTCGTCGTCTTCAGGACCTGAAACTGGTTCGAAGTCCTAGCTCTGTAGCTCACCCGGTAAAGCGCCTAATCTTACTGAGTTCCCTAACGCGAAATAAGTACAAAATAAACGATCCCAGCGAACGAACTAACCTGTGGCGGATCCTCCAGATTTTAGCAGCCTCCTAGCAAGCAGGTTAGAAGGCTTCTAGAAACTAGCGGAGACACCACAGGTTAGTTCGTTCGCGGGGACCGTTTATTTTGTAGTGTTTTGTACAAGAGGAGTGCACTATTTTCTGAAAACTCTCCATAGTTTTAAGCGCCTGAAATAGCCCTGAATTGTTTTAGAGGGTTCACCGAGACAGTAACTCAATCATATTTTGGTGAGAGAATGGGTCAGCTCGTTGTTATTTTCTGGTTTGGCTCTATTTATGCACAGTTACAAATCGCTTTCAATCGGCTCCTAGCCATATATTCCCCGATATTATACAAGTAGGTTACCAGTCGCTTGTGGCTCTTCTTTCTGAGTATTGCACAGTTTATCCCGATTTTGAAGAAGTTTGAGATATGCAAGTCATACCTATCGCTTACTCCCACAAAACTGCAAGTATCATGAAACCGAAGGGGTGTTGATTTCCCACAGTATTCGTTATGCTGCCCTTCTATGAAAATTTGTTTTACTTCCTTCTAGCACCACCTTCTCATCCCGCCGAACAAAACGAATGCTGGGGATATCTTGGATGATTTGCCTCGTTCACGGCATAATCTACATCTTAGGTATGAATCCGTTTATTTTTTCATGAATTCTAATGGAGAAAAATGAGTACACTCTCCGCAAACGGCTGTTGGCAATCGTCACGGAATACTTCTCGTTTTTTCTCGATTCAGGGAGTTCCAAATCCTTCCTTCGGGAAATGTACTGCTATCACTTTAAAAGCCGTTGTTGCTGATCCTTATCAGGGACGGTAGCAAACCTTCATTAATTCAGACTTAACGTGTCGAGATTAGCTCAGACCAAAGTCAGTTTAGATAACTGGTTCAGAGCGCTTCTCAACACATTAAGTCTTGTTTAACCTACAGTTAGATCATAACCAAAAAAACCAATTTGACTTGAAGTTAGACAGTTAACTTGTAAACCTAATTCCTAACTAATCAGAGAAAAAAATACTGTGGGGTTAAAGAGACGCAGAGGCCACGTTGATCCTTCACTAAAAAGTACTCCGAAGCTTTTTCACTGGAGGGTCATACGTGTCAGACGTGGTGACTGCGCCTCCTCAATCCCGTGCTCTTTTTTCTTCTCTGACCAGCTCAACCTGTTAGGAATCAAAGAATGCAGCTGCGATCCATAATCTTCAGGTACTTTTGCAACCTTTTTTTTCTTATTTATTCGTTTCCTGATATTTTGTCGTCTGAAATCTAAAGTAGGAAGCTCTTGCTTGATCTGGGCTGGATCGCACTCTCCATTCTTTATTCTTTGCTTAGAATCTCCGATCGTTACTTCTGATTGCGAGTTAAGGGTACTTTGCTACCGTCCCAGATGTAGTCTCATCGGGGCCGGGGCAAAAATCATTATAAGCCTAGATTTTTGGGGCTTGCTACCATGAAATCCCAAACCAGACCGCACGCTAATGTTTTCATCACTTGTGCTTTCGTCTCGGCCTACATTGTCTCCCAGATAAGCCTCTCGAAGAAATCCAAGTTCTACGAGGTTTATCGCGCTTTTTTTTCACTAATGAGTTCAACCGGGTGCGAAACTTTTGGCTCGCCCGGGCTGGTGGTTAGAAACGGAGATTTGAAAGCAGCGATGTCGGTGAAGAGATTTTAGGACAAGAAGATGGGAGCGAGTCTTCATCAAGATGTCATAATTATCACCAGAGTCATAATTAACGAAACAATACAAAACTAGGAGCTTTTTCACTGAGATGTTGTTACTCAGTGCTAGAATATATGATTACTGATCGCGGAGTCGTGACCCTGAAAGGAACACTCAAAGGAGGGCCGATGTTAGGCGACATTAAGGCCAAGCTGAAGGGAGGAGAGAAATATAACACATGGATAACATTCACTAACATCGTACTCCAGAATCCCCCTCCATCAGGCTCAGTTTCATGCACCGTAAACGGCTCACTCACTTGATGTTTTCAACAACCCCCAGGACCTTGCGGATTTTATCCGCGATCCATACACGATTCAACGAGTTAAATTCCACTGCAGAAGCCAGCAAAGAATTGGCTCGTCCGGGTTGCTGCGCAAGCCAAGAGCTGCATGATTTGGCCACGTTGTCAAGCCGAACGAACCAAAAGTTCATCAGCCGAGCCAACCATCACCATTTGCTTCATATATTTATGTGATCCCCATCACCTTTCATTTGTGATCGTGGAAAGTGCCTTCAGCAGAAGTTTGGTAAGAACGAGATTTCTTAATTTGATCAGCGATGTAAAATAATGAAGCAATGTCATCGAGATTATTATCTTTGCTGTGCTTGAATACATTCAACTCGCTGAGAGCAAGCTCTTAGCATGCACCACGAACTTGTGTTGAAATGGCTCTATACTATTAGGTTGTCCCATAATTAGTGAATCACTTGGGTATTTTTGAATTAATTTTTTTCCTTTTCTATTCGATTCTTGCTCATCCAAACATACACAGCTGTCACCTACAACATATTTTATGTTCATGGGAATTTATTCGCTGTCTCTCCTCTGAAATTGTGGGAGCTCCTGAACGAAGAAAGACTTGAAGTCGAGTTGGAGGTCATGCCACTTTGCGCAAGATTTTTTCCTGGGGAAGAGGGTTAGAGCCCAGACTGGGTTGTCTTTTCTTGGCGCGAAGTTAGGGCCACGCGGCGGAGGTGGAAGAACTGTTAGCCTGATAGTCTCCAACTTTTTATGAATTATTCCCTGGTAGGTCGGGTCGAACGACCTCAGGAAAAAAGCAGACTTTGTCTTGCTTTACTTTCAGTTCGAACGCATCGCCATAACGCTGTCGACGTTGACCTTCTTCAGTGACCCTAGTATCACTGCGGCGGCTTCCCAAAGCGCAAGCTCCCTCTCTTGTTTCACGAATATCTCGGAAAGTTCGGACTTGGAGAGGTTGGGCTTTTGCTGTCAGAACTCCGGAATCGTTCAAGCTACGCTACCGTCCCTTGTGGATTTGATAGCACACTCTACCCAGTCCATAATTCTGGTGAGTATGCTGGGTGATCAATGTAAGCAACTAAGGGAGATCAGAAGGAACATGAGGGTTCAGATCGGAGTTGGAGCTGATTCGGGCATAAAGCACGGTAGTAACAAATTTTGTATTCTTAAATCTTCGCGACTCCACGAAGTTGTTACGTTCCATCATCTTAATAAGTTGGATACGCTCTGGCAAACAGCGATTAGTTTGTTCAGTTTCGTTCTTAGCGGGCGCTGGCTAGGGCAGTGAGATTGCCAGTCGAAATGGTACCTGGAGTGTGGGTCATCTTCAAATAATAAATTCAACCCCGGAATAGAGTGAACCATAAGTGCACCGTGGGTTGAGCGAGCGTGCCCTCGCCTATCTGCTGGTTGATCCACAATGTTGTTTGGCGTTCGAAAGATCCTAATAAGGTGATGAAGAGATGAGCTCAAAAATAGGTTCTGAAAAATTGATGTAACAGCCGCGTAAGGCAGCGTATAAATGGGCTGACTAAATACTCGGGTAGGACAATGTGTGCGCTACTTGGCAAAACATGTTTCACGTCTTTACAATTTTTCTTGGATTTTTCATAGCACTAAATGTAAAGTGATTCACTAATTATGGGACAACCTAGTACTTCATGCTGTTACATTTCCAGATGGATGTGAATTCGTTCTTCGACGTCCAGTTGTCCAGTTGGAGATACGATAAGCCTGGCTGCGGTCACGTCGTCTCCTACTATTTGACCTTCCTGTATCCTGCAGCTCAGTGTGCTACAGTGGTCATCATTGATACACTTGCGTTCTTCGCTATTGCCAAAGAACTCAAAGTCATTACTCACTTGGATTTTCATATTTATTCCACCAAACTTTTTTACCAAAATATATGCTCCTCTGAAACGACCTCTTGAATTTTCTAGAAATCCTCGAAGTTATCAAAAGCAGCCCCGGAAGCCACGATGCTCAGAAAGAACATCAGTCTTTTTATACAAGTGAGTTCCTGTTTGCAAATCTACCTGAGATTCAACGAAAAATCATCCATTGGCGTCAATTCTATGAGCTTCACTTCACAGCCGTTGCGGTTTGAACAAATTGATGACTGATGATACCAATTTGCTGGAGTAGCCACGATTGATAATAACTGAAAATGAGTCCTTAGAGTAGTGTGTGCCCACCGGTTGACCACAGACTCATTTTCTTTCCGACAAGAATACTGAGTGATGGGCTTGCTCAGGTAGACTATCGTATAGATCATTCAGGCATATTCTGTGGATGCAACATTAGCTATATCATGAAAAATAACTGACAGTGAAATGCCATCAAGTACGGCGTTTCCAAAGAGATGCGTACCATATGAGACTCGAGACGCCTAGCTCCAAGTCGCTTTTGGTATCTAACAAAGGATTTTCTAACGGAGTTCGCTTTCTCAATTTGCTTTCTTGCACTTTCAATAGCATGTGGGAACTTAAAGCAACAGTCCAGGAACGAATTTGCGGGCCAAAAGCACCTATATGGAAGTTGTAGGTGAAAAGTGGTCGAACGTAAAGAGAAAAAGTGAAGAAAACGCCCAACTGGGGCTTAGACAGGGACATGCCCTGCCGTTTAGGGAGACGTGTGTTGGACGAGTTGTCCGAACCTGCCCGTAGTACATGCGCTTTAATTGCAACTGCTGGCAAATAGCTGCATGCTTGCAAATACATAACTATTTGCCAGCAATCGAAATTGAAGCGCTTCAATTGCGTTCTTATGGAATCGACCTCATACAGCGCGGCGGTCCCGCAACGACCGCTAGTCAAGCGCGGACTCTGCACAGCGTATGTTGGGCGATCCGCCTCTTTATGGGTGATCCGCCCCCTCCAAGAGGACTTCGACCCCTTCCAGCGCATTTTAGAGGTAGGTTTTGAACTTAAAGACATTTCCTATAAACTTTAGTTGGGCTGGGGCATGTTTTGACCGCCTAATGACCAAGTAGTTGAAACCCTGCCTGGACTGTTGCTTTAAGCACAATTCTGTCAGCAATAATATCAAAGAGGGTTCGCGATAAATCTCATCAAAGTTAAGCACTATTTCTTCCTTAGAGCGTTCGCCAGAACTTGCCGCACATAGCGAAGGTGATATGCGATTTTAGTGGGTCAGACAACCCCTAGGGTCATGTGCCTAGCCACATTTGAGCTTATGACACAGTTACAATCTATAACTACACACTTCATCTGATCGATGTTCTTTGATGCTTTGCTTTGGAATGGAATATAATTTGTTTTCAAAGGAATGCAGTCACTCATCAGCGAATTAATATGGCATTTTCTTCTTTTCTTCACGCTTCCTTTACGCTTTGGCGAGAAGGATGGCTTTTGGCATAGGCTAAATAACATCGCTGGGAACGATGTCAACTCTATGGAGAATTCGCCATAGGGAACTGTACTTCAGAAAGAAAAGCGATTGTGTCATTCAGTATGTTACGAGTGAGAGAGAAAGAGAAAGTGCTAATCATCGCACATCATAGTTCATTCAAGGCTCCAGAAGCTGTGTTAAAATTGGTTACGACAATCAGAGGCGACGTTGGGCGTGCTGATCGCATGTCGTTCAGTCATAGTCAACACAGTTCTGTTGACGAAGTAAACTACCAGTAGTGATAGGCTCGACCTATCAATAGCACCTTTTTCCTACCACTTGTGCGATGGAATTGCTTCAGCGCATTCGCGCGTTAACATTTTCAAACATGGGGAGCCGAATTTTACCAAAACTTCCGTTACACTAATATTATTGCGTGTTGCAAATTAGCACAAGAAACGAGTGGGATCATTTGATGAATTTTTTGAAATTTTCAATCGAATCACAACTAGAGTGCTTTCTTTTCGATAACGTGGTGTTGGTTTTAAGCTCACAAAGCACTTTTGGTGGTAAAAAAGTGGACTGAAGTTCATATGCTCGTCGATAGGTTTTGACGCAAAATTGTTTTCCACTATGACATCAGGGACCGAGCCACGCAAATGTCAAAGCTGGACTTCCCGAACGAATCTCACTACTTGTCCTAGCCGTGCCATGGCTGGGTAAGCTATGCTGCGGGACGAAGAGAGGGTGGTCATTTTCTGTGATTTCGAGAACAGGATATATTCGGTGATATGGCATCAGTAATTTTGGAAGAAACGACAAATTTACAGTAAATTCCCCTGTTTTGACAGACTTCAACTCTGCCTTTTCTTCTGCTATGAAACTACGAAGTGGTCGCAAAATTTTATATTTTTCAATACCACTATTCTCAATCCCATATTGCCAACGCGTTTCTAGCAAATGTAGAATTCGCATACCATTTTAGCAAGCAGGGAAGAGTCCAATGCAAAATCCGTTAACGAGTGAAAGCACAGGAGTGGACGGACATCTTTTGCATTCGATTATACATATGCACTGGTGAAGTTCATGTTTCTTGATGTCCTCTGTAAGAGTTCTTTGAAGAGTGGGTAGTGAAGAAGTGAGACATCTCGTTACTTAGCAGAGAACGCCGTCAGCTTTATCACCGCATACGTCTTGAGAGAAGATTATAAGTTCAGGAACAGGAACAGAGGCTGTATACCGTAACCCTCTCGACGTTGCACTGGGGCGCCCAATGTCACGTGTCATCGATTTCCATGTGTGCTCGGCACCCAGTAATCGTCGTTCTCTGCGTTCTCTTAACAAGGAGAGAATGCGTCGAGCAAACTCGCCAACTATACCAAGCGTATTTGATCAAAAACGCGGAGGATAGCACGCACGACGATTTGGCCTCACGTAGGATGAGGCGTACGTAGGGGATCAATTTCCCTTGCCCGCGCGTGAAGCGCGCGCAGCGCTCCGTCCATCTCGCCATGCAAGCGGCGAGTTGAATGCTGCAATGCTGCTCCATTTTTGGAACGCTGCACGCCGGTGTGGCGTTGTTGATCTTCGCTCGCAACCTAGCAACGACATCCTGCCGCAGGACTGTGACCGTGTCCTGACGCTAATGTCGCTTACGGTATGCATCCTATGTTCCTAAACTTATAATGTTGTCGTCTTGAGAGCTAGGCTCAAAACTAATCTCATTCTTTTACAATGAGCTATATTCTTGATGGAGCTGCGGAGGTATTTTCTCCTCAGTGTGACCTGCTTCCCTTTTTTCCGAATTTGCGCCACTAGCGAAGAAGCATAAAAAAGGCAATGCTCGACTCGACGCTGTAGACGCTGTCAGCTTCGAGAGCACAAGCTTGCATGTTCGAACCCTTTCTTCAAGGACATCTTCGCTTTTTCGTCACAGGCAGATTAAGCTCTTGAAAGTATTATGTACATTTCTCTTTTCTTGGATAGTTGGATCTTCGCTGATTTTGATAGCTCTAATTGAATATTTTATTCTGAATTAGTTTTGGCGAACTTAATTTCTCATACCATCCTGAAGCGCGTTTCTCGCCAACAGTGTTCACAATTTTTTCTGAAGCCTTGCTGCCTTCTCAAATATTTGAAGACCTTCTAATCAAAGAGTGAGTGCCTGCAAATTTATTATTTCATAGCACGGAAGGAGCGCAAACACATTGCGATTTCGACCATGCGTTTAAATCAGGATCCACAAAAACATGCGGCGATGGTTCAAGTAGCGTTTTTGTAATTGCAATAGTCTCAAAGATGAGAGGAGTGAGACTGCAGATGGAGAGCATGAAATTTAATCAGAAATTCCAACCAAGTCGTATCCACACAGAATTGTAATGAATTAGAGTAGACGTAATTCTGGATACACGAGCTGATGCTGAAACTGACGTGCATATGCTGAAAAATTCGAAAAAGTTGACAAGCGGATGCTGCAGAAAAATGCTGGGTTCAGCACCTACATGCGCTTCTCCTCTACCGTCTTCTGTTTAACAAAATTGGCCCGGTTTTGGATTGATTTGTAAAGTACAATGTAAAAAAGATTAACAGTAACTGACGCACTTTTTCTGAAAATCTCGGTGAGCTTTAAGATGTCCACTCAAAGCTGTAAATGCGCGAAGACAAGGTCGTGATAACTTTTAGGAGTGTTGCGACAAGCGCTGTTCTTAATATTAAGTTGAAAATACTTCAATGAGCTGTATTCTTACCAAGGTGTCGGAACACAAAGCAAACCTCAAGACATGCATTGGCAGAGGCCATCATACTACTCTTACTCTGCGGAGGGACCTACTCTTCTGCGCAATGTGCCTTGAACGGAAGCTGCAGCACCAATCTCGCCGAAGTTGGACTAGGCTACTGAACTTCAATGCTACATCTCACTCCAAAACTTTTTCCCTATTAGTTTCCACTTTTTAGGCCGTCGCACGTCCTCTTCGAAGAGGAATCCTCCGAAGTCTAACATGATGGTGGAACCCTTTTGCGACAATGGCACCCAGTGCTGGGTGCTACCATAAGATTCAGATATTTGCACATTTAAAACTTTTTTTAACATCTCTGGGTTTTTCAGCAATCTCCATAATACCAGCGTTAAGCAGGGTTAGTTGTTTTCATGATTAAGCTAAACAAATATCACCAGTCAAGACGTCTTCGTCTTTTCACGGTCTTCAGACACAGGGATGATCTGAAATGTTTCAAAAACTCCGCTGTACTTATAAACTTAAGGAGTTTTACGTTCCATCCCTTTGAAATCTTCCTTTCTTTTCTAAACTTACAATTTTTCTACCTGTAATGTATAGCCTGAAATCTCAAGACTGCAACTGTGTTCAGTGCATTGTTAATGTCAAAAATCTGTTAGAGAAACTGCTTTAGAGAAAAATGCTCAGCTCGCGAGGGTCAAGAAAATGGCAGCAGTCCTCCGAGCCCGCTACGTGCAAATCGCATATGTCGTCCAAGCTTTAGAAATATGCAGGTGTATCAGCGTTCATTTTGAAATGTTCTGTTTGTAGCGAGATAAGACGCCCTAGATAAGACGTTTCGCTTGCATGCAGGGTCAGTCGGCAGAGACCTAATCGTATGAATAATACTAAAGATGGGCACCATAGTACTATACTACATATAATGT